CAAACTATAAACAAATACCGACCTCTCCAAAGCTGTCAATTCTGCATGGCTCCAAGGTGCAAGGATAGGTCTACTAACGTGGAGTTAAACCTGAACTACTACCATACATCTACGCAATGTTTCAAGATTTTGGCTCACCCCTTCATTCACATTCACAAGGGTGACTGTGCCCAAAAGCTTGCTAAGAACTTTTTTCCAACTACTCAGTTGGTCTAATAAAAGATATCACATCTACTCAAAGAACCTTGCCTGCCAGTGTCCTTACACCAACATAGTTACAACCAAAAACCCAACCACTTTACCTACAAAATAGTGTAAGATAATCATTACCTTTTTTGACCAGAGCCTTTTGTGCACTCCTGCAGTTAGAAAAATGTACTAAATTGTGTGCTATGAATTACCTTTTCCTACCAGACACATCTCTTTCAAGATCTTAAGAACGCTGCCACGGCCCCAGTAACCTTGAGAGGAGCCCACAGAGCTATTCTATGAAGGTAACACTTGTGTGAAGTGAACTACTGACACATCACTATGTAACCCTAGCCCCATGGCATTTAACTGCTGCATACTCCGCATTGCTGATTCTTAGTTCTAGTTTTCACTAGAAAAAGGTCTGGCAGTACAGAAACACCAGCAAGCTCTCAGACACCATTTTTACTATCAGAATTGCGCTTTTGCTGGCAGAAGGTATCATATTTTTCCAAATCCAAGATGACTTCAAATGTAAGATGAGTCCCCAATGAATTAGACTGTATTTATGGAAATTCAGAAATCTGTTATAATTTTCTATGTATTTAGTCTAATTACTGGAGGGACACCTTGAATTCATTCCCTTCACTGCAGCAGCAGGGAAAGCAGTGGGGGGTGGGGCAGGAGAGGCAGGTGGACAAACCACTGCCCCTTGTCCCCTACCCCCCCAAATGCCTACTCACCCTGACACTTTCACCTTGCCTCCCTGCTGCCTACACCCTCCAGCCCCTTGCCTGTCCCTCACCCCCAGGGTCTAGAGCTGGGGCTGCAGCAGCCGCCTGCCCCAAGCCAGTTCAAATCCAAGACAAGACTCTTCAGGAATTCTGCAAATATTCCCCCCCCAAGTTGATCAGAGGAAAAAAACAACAACCTTGTTTTAGACTTGAGTAAGTACAGTGTATCACCTCTTTAAATTA